GCCCATATCAGGTGCTTAATTTTGTTATCTGCTATTGCTGCTTTGCTGGATTAATTTATTCTGTTTATTTCCTCTTCTATGTGTGCCTGGCTTAAGATTTAATAAAAATCCTACCATTCCCTCAACATAGGGTCCTATATCTCCTCCCCTTTCTCAGTCCAACTTCTAGAATCTAGATAAAGCTGTTTATACTCTCCTCTCAATTTTTTCTAAACTCTCTGCATCCTGGCTTCTGATCTCATAACTCAGCTGAAAGTGCTTCCTCCAAAGTTACCAGTGATCTCTTGATTGCCAAATCCAATTCTTTTTATTCATTACTCATTCTTTTTGACCTCTCTCTTGGTTCTGGATGTTTCTCTCTTGGTTCTCCTCCTCCCTATCTGACCACTCTTTAATTTCCTTTGTTGGATTATTGTGCACATCACACCCCCTAACTGTGGCCTTTTCTTTTCCTCTCTTGACTCTCACTTGGTGACCTAATCAGTTGACATGGGTTCAATTATCTCTATCCCTGGGAATCTTTTTTTTTTTTTTTTGCTTTTTGGTGAGGCAATTGTGGTTAAGTGACTTGCCCAGGGTCACACAGCCAGTAGGTGTCAAGTGTCTGAGGCCCGATTTGAACCCAGGACCTCCTGACTCCAGGATGGGTGCTCTATCCACTAAGCCACCTAGCTGCCCCACCTGGGAATCATTTTTATGACTCCTAAATCTATTTATCCAGTCGTATTCTCTCTTCTGAGCTCCAGTCTCACATCACCAATTGCCCATTAGATGTTTGTCACTGGATGTTCAATGGGCATCTCTGCATGTCCCACCTGGGGCTGAGCTTTTCCCCAGACCAGCCTCCTTCAACACCTCTATTTCTGTAGAGGACACCAGCATTCTTCTGGTATCCCAGGTTCTCAGTCTTGTAGTAACAGTCATACTACTGAGTTCAGTATCAGCTCCTCACTCTTACCTCATACAGACATTCAATTACCAAATCTTGTCCTGTCTACCTCCATAACATCTCTTGAATTCACCCCCTTCTCTCCATTCATCACCCTAGTTCAGAGCCTCTGGTTGTACATTCATTCACTCATACCCCCTGACTCACCAGTCTTGGGGGGAGGGGATCACAATACTCCTTGCTCCCCATTGCCACTTCCAAACTCTCACTCTGCCACTACAACTCAGCAACTTCTCCTTTAATTTTTATCCAAATTTATCACACAATCCAAATCTTAGTGACCTTTATCAATTAATAACAATAATAGCTAACATTTATATAAAGTTTACTATGTGTCAAGAACTGTGCTAAAAGCTTTACAATTATTATCTCATTTAATCCTTACAACAACCCTGTGAGGTAGATGCTATTATCATCCCTATTTTACAGATGAGGAAACTGAGGCAAACATGACTTGCCCAGGGTCATACTGCTAATAAGTGTTTGGGGTAAAATTTGAACTCAGGTATTCCTGATTTCAGGCCTAGTACTCTATTCACTGCCATATTCTCCTTTCTTCATTAACGAGTTCTGTGGCTGGCTCACAGTCTTTCTCTCCACCCTACTCCTCATACTGTGGAACTTAATCATACTAGTGCTCCCTCAAATACCCTAATTTCCAAATTCTTCAATCTACTTAGTTCACATGACCTACTCTCACTGGTGATTATTATCAGATCTCATGAATTCGATTATCATCTCAGGTAGATGATTCCCAGGTCTATGTATCCAGCCCTAGTCTCAAGATCTCCTAGGCTATATATAATCTTGCATTAGCAGCTGTCTTTGGGGCATCTCAAATTGAATGTTCCATAGGGATCTCAAGCTCAACACATGCAAAAGAGAACTCATCTTTTCTCCTAAACCTTCACCCTCTTCTGAACTTCTCTATTAATTTTTTTTTCAGTCAGTAAAAATCTGCCCTCTCTTCCTCTCATCCCACCCCTACCTCCTATTGAGCATCAAAGGAAAACAAAACCCCTGTTGTGGTCAAGTAAAACAAATTTCAGCAGTGGCTAGGTCTTAAAGGAAAATGTATAAATATATATTTGTATATATATATATATATGTATATCTGTCCCATTCTGCAACTTTCACCTCTTATCAAGAGTTGTATAGTATGTTTCATCATCAGTCCTCTAGAACTGTTTAGTTGTTACATTGTTCAGAATTCGTAAGTCTTTCAAAGCTGTTTATCTCTATGATATTGTTGTCACTGTACAAACTGTTCTCTTGGTTCTATCTCTTCTCTTTGCATCAGTTCAGGTGGCAGAGTAAATAGACTATTGCAATGGCCTGCTAGTGGTTCTGCTGGAGGTCTCTCCCCACTTCAATCCTTTGTCCATTTAGCCACCAAAGTAACCTTCCTAAATTACTTTCCTACCCAGTAAACTCCACTAGCTCCTTATCGCCTCCAGGATCAAATACAAAATGCTCTGTTTGGCATTCAAAGCCTTTAAAACCTAGCCACATCCTACCTTTCCAGTCTTCTTACACCTTACTCGCCCAACAGTACCTGGCAGCTACTCATCACTCCAGAATTCAGTGAAACTAAGACTGCCTTCTGTGTTGTTTCCATCCCTCAGCTCCAAGCATTTTTTCTGGCTGTCTCCCAAGCCTGGAAAACACTCCCTCCTCAACTCAGACTACTGACTTCCCTGGCTTCTTTTAAATACCAACTAAAATACCATCTTTTATAGGAAGCCTTTCACAATCCCTCTCTAATTTCCTATTTATCCTGTGTATAGTTTGCTTTGTATATATTTGTTTGTATATTGTCTTCCCTCGTTAAATTGTAAGCTCCTTTAGGGCAGGGAACTCTCTTTTTTGCTTTTTTTTGTATCCTCAACACCGTGCCTAGAACATAGTAGGTGCTTATAAATACTGATTGATTAATTGATTGAACTGCTGATTCTGCAGATTGTTCTTTAAGGTTCAGCTGCTGACAAATTCTGGTATGGACTTTAGTTCCAAGATCTGAGATCTTACAAGGTTGCAACTTAGTCCGTTCCATTTCCAACAGCCATACACCTAAGAGCAGGAGAGAAAAAATATAAAGAGGCAAAAGACCAGATACACCATGTTCACAGCACATGTTGACCCAGGGTGTATGTGTGTGTGTTGAGGGGTGGGGTGGGGGTGGAGATAGGCAGTAGGCAACAGGATGCTGCTTCGATCACTGCTATCACATGGCATCACCTCCATGATGTCATGGTTCCTCTTCAAGAATAAAGGACAAACAAGAACAACACATCCCACCTCAAACAAAGTAGTCCATGATTTGAGCATCACCAGGAAAGACTGATGTCTATTTGGCCACTTAGTGCCTTTTGTATGTACATTCAGCAGCTCAGCAGTCAACCAAATGGTGTTTTCTTTAATAGATGGGAAATAATCATAGAATACCTATGTATTCACTCTGTTCTAGAGCTTCACAAACTTCCAGAAACCAGCTCACCAAATCCCTGCATTTGTGCATGGCTGGACCCTCACTGGCCAGTGCCCTGTCACTTCTGATAGATTTTGTACTTATTTGTAGGTATGATCGTTTCTCCAGACAGGCTATAAACTCTTTAAGTGTAGGCTCTATTTCAGTTTTGTTTTCATAACCCTTAGCATGTAGCAAAGTAGGAACTTAATAATGGTTGTTTGTTGAGTAATAGTGGATAGAAGTCTTACCTTGGAAGTAAGATCTGGGTAATTATTCTCCTTCTGACACGTACTGTGTGCAATGTGAGTAAATTACCTAACTCTCAACGGTAGACAATTCTCTGAAACTCTTAAGTTACAGAGGAATTGAGGATGTGCGTTAGTGAAGAGAGTTCAGCACATAAGTGAAATCACAGCTCCAAGCCAAAAAATTCAGTTCAATTCAATAAACATTTAATAAACACATACTATGTGCAAGGTAGCACTTTAGAACTTCAAAGGCAAATGAACAAACAAAAACACTTAAACCCAACTAGTCCCTTCAATCAAGAAGCTTAAATTGTGGTAAGGGGGAAGCTATTAAGTACAGGTGAGGGGCGATGAAGAGGTGATGAGGGCCTGAATTGTGTCAGTGGAGAAGGGGATGCATATAAAAGAAGAGTCCAATAGGCCCAATTTCTTAAAATGCTTTTTGACAAATTTAGCAAGTATCGAACATAAAATATGTTGATAGGCTAAGGAACTGAGTGGTAAGTGGGATAGCCTATTGTTATTAATTTCAACTGATGAGAGGATGGATCCTAGTGTAAAATTTGAAGGTACTTAATAAATTAGGAAGTGAGGAGAGGCAGGAGAAAGATTTGGCTTCAAATAATATGTAGGATTCCCAAGTACTCATTTTTTTTTGGTCTATACGATTATGGGTTAATTCGTAGGCTCAATTCAACAACCATTTATTAAAAATGAAAGCCACCTATGTACAAAGATTAAATTACACATTTGTGTAACGCTTTTAAGAACCACAAGATGCTTTCCTTACAACAACATCGTAGGCCAAGTAATGCAAGCAGTAGCAACCACACTTTATGGATGAGGTTAAATGACATTCAGTCACACAGTTAGCAGATGGGAGATGTCTTAGCTGACTCCAAATTCAATATTCATTCCATTGTGGAAAATACAAAAATAATTCCTGTCAAAGAGTTTGCAACATCTGAAGGAACAAAACCTGTACAAAATAGCTAATACGAGACAACGGAATGTGTCGAGGGAAGGTACAAAGCTTTTATAACGTGAGGAGATAATTTTCAGCTGGGGCTTGGGGAAGCCTTCTTGGAGAGCAATACCCGAATTGGGCTTTGGAGAGATTTCTACAGGAGGAGACTTGCGGCAGGGGATGCACGAGGGCGGGGGCGGGTAGGCGAGACAGCCCAGTTTGGCAGGAGCAGGAGGGATGTCAACAGGAAGAGAAAAATGAGGTCATCTGTCTCTTTAAAAATGGCGGTGCCCGGCGTGCCTCTCTTCCCATTGGTTGCGCAAGGCCGAAGGACCGCGGGTAGGAAGCGGGGGAGCACGTGGTAGGAAGACGGGAGCCCAGCCTTCTACGGCAAGTCGAAGGTAGCAAGATGGCCGCAGCGGAGGAAGAGAGCGCATCCGGCACGGACCCGGAGATGGACGAGCTTTTGGAAAGTAAGGGCCAGACTGGGGACGCCCAGAGGCCAAAGGGTCCGGGGCGCCGGGCGTGGAGGGTGGCGGAAAGCCAGACGCTGGCGCTGGGCGGGGGCCGTCTTTCTCCTCAGGGTCCTCCCCGCTCCGGTCAGGGGTCTGCCGCGAGGAGGGGCTGCCAACCCGGCGTGAGGGTGACGAAGTTCCTCGGCAAGTGGAGCTTCCTGTTAGGGTCGGACAGGTGCGCTGGGCAGCCGCGGCAGCCTCCGGAGGCCCCGGGACCTGGCCACAGTCACCCCACACACACTCTGCGCTTTTCGGCGGGTCAAGCCAAGTACTTTTCCCCTCAGCTCCTCAGGCCAGCTTCCAGCCTTGTCGTCGTCCTGTCTGCTGGCCTCTTGCCGAATGAGTTGAGAAGCCAAGACCCCGGGGGACTCTGGTTCTGGTGTCCCTCCATCCTCATCGTCATGGTGGGGGGGGGGGGGTTGCCTTTAGCGCTGGTAGGGTCATAGATTTTTAAACCGGAGGAGATTGAAAAGAGATCCTCTAACCAAAACTCAGTTTACAGATGAGGAAACTAAGTCAGAGGCAAGTGACTTAACTTTAGTTAAGCTAGAACTGGAACAAAGGGACTCTAAATCCATGCCTTTTTCCCTCCACTGGGAAGTGCTCAGCCAGGCCGTCTGTGCCCTGTGTTGGTCCTGGGCCATCTGCTTTACCCTCCCACCCCTTGGCAAGCATGAAGTAGTGCAATGCACATTCTAGGGCAGAAGTAAACTCTGCTATGACTGCTGGGCGCAGAGATGTGGGCAAAATGAAAGATAAGGGGTGCTAAGCTGATGAAATTGTCTGCACGTAATTTACTGCAAAAATAAGGGTCCCCCTGAGACTTTAGAAAGATATTTGGTATAAGTTAATTTGGCAAATTACAGGTGAGTGGCCCCTCTGTCTACAATCCAAAGGGACAGGGTTTGCATAAAGACTGGGGAAGTGGTTGGGGGGCGGTGGATGTGGGGTGACTCCTCTTTCTCCTTTGGTTCCTGCATTTTAGCCAAAGTTATTTATTTAGGAAATTTAGGATGAAAATGATAGTATACTGTTCCTATGAGTTATCTGTGAAGTTTAGAAAAAAGCTTGGCTATAGCCTTGGGCACAGGTGCTAAAGGTACTTTCTGAGCAGTGTATACTCCCACTCCCTCTCCTCCTCTCTTAGTGATCTTCCATTGTGTCCCTCTTTGAAGTAGGCTCTCCTATCCCCTGGGTGTTGAATTCTGAAGATCCCTTGGTTTCTATTTAGTTGGGTGGTAAAAGAGAAAAGGGAGGAGGAAATTAAGGAAGAAAGGAAAAATCAGGTAGGTAATCTTAATGACCTTTGCCGTAGTGCCTTCCTGTAGAATTACCCAGCAGACTTTTCCCAAGCTTTACCCTTCCCTCAAACCCCTCCTCCGTTCTCCTTCCCCCATACATATATATCTCTTGTTTCTAAAGGTGCACTTGATGATTTCGATAAAGCCAAACCCTCCCCAGCATCCCCTCCTATCACCACGGCACCTGATGCTTCAGGGTCCCAGAAGAGATCGCCTGCAGACACAGCTAAAGTACAAAATCTACCCACTAGGGGAGGGTGTGGGATGGTTGACTACCTCTTAACAAAAGTTGGACTGAGCCTCTGTGGGCCGAAGGCGAGGGGAGGAGGGACTTGGCATTTGGATTGGTCTAAGCCCTTTTGAAATGGATTGGGGGAGGAAGAAAGGGGAAAGGAAAGAAAGCTAAGATAGATTAAAGTTCCTAGTACTGAAAACATTTTAAATTAAATCACATGAGACCACTAGTAGCACCATGTAGTAGTCAGGTGTGTGTGTGTTTGTTTTTTTGCTGTCGTGCTCTAGAGAAGTAAGAACTTGTGACTAGAGGAACTCGAGTTCAGCTGCCTCTCAATTCTGAAGTTAGACATTTAGAAGCCTAGGAAAATGCTAACTTGAGTCTCCTACTCTATTGTCTATTTAAGGATGCCCTCTTTGCCTCCCAAGAGTTCTTCCAAGAATTGTTTGACAGTGAGCTAGCATGCCAAGCCACTGCAGAGTTTGAGAAGGCTATGAAGGAGCTGGCTGAGGAGGAGCCCCACCTGGTAGAACAGTTCCAGAAGCTCTCCGAGGCAGCAGGGAGAGTGGGTGAGCAGTGGGGAGCCCTTGAAGATGTGGTCTTATCTAGCCTTCTCAAATGGGGACTTGTATCAAAATGTTCAGCAGTGTCAGAGTGCTTTCTTCTCAGGCAGATTGTGGTAGGAGGGAATAAGATTTCTGCTCAGTGAAGTAAGAGAAAAGAGGGATAAAGAAGAATAGGAAAAAGGGTGTGGGGAGTCCATATTTTTAAAACAAGAAAGTTATCTTCAATTAAATATGAAAGATGGTTTGATTTAGCCTTTGTACATTTATAACCATCCAAATTGCCCCTGGCAGGATTATGTTCTTAAGGTTGAAGGGGCTAGGGAGTTCACTAGTGTCTTCCAAACCTCTCTTCTAAACCCCTATGTGTCTACATGCATGTGTCTATACGGCACCAGTGACTTGAAACACAAAGATCGTACTCCCCAGTGACTCTTGCCCTTTCATTTTCCCAGGCAGTGATACAACATCCCAACAAGAGTTTGCTTCCTGCCTGAAGGAAACGCTCAGTGGACTAGCAAAGAATGCCACTGACCTTCAGGTGAGGCCATATGGGAAGGTTATGAAGGAACTCCATCCCTTAGAGCCTTAGACTAAGAGCATCCTGTTACACTAGAATTTCTTACTCCAGGGGAAAATAAACACCTATGTTTTTATCTGAAATCTGTATACTCTGTGATTAGTAGCAAATTACATTCCCGCTTCAAACCTTGGAGAGTTATTTCGTGATGCTGTTTATCTCTATTCACTTTTCTTCTGTCCTTTCCAGAACTCTGGCATGTCTGAAGAGGAGCTGACCAAGGCCATGGAGGGGCTGGGCATAGAAGAAGGGGAAGGAGAAGGCAATATACTCCCCATTATGCAGAGCATTATGCAGAACCTATTATCTAAGGATGTACTATATCCATCACTAAAAGAAATCACAGAAAAAGTTAGTGAGTCTCTGATACCTACCCTTCCCTTTCCTAGGTTTATCTCTGCTTCCTTGGCATCATGACTTAAGTGGCCTGATCCAACCCAATATAGATGGTAGTGGCTGGTGTTCATACTTCCTTTGACTCTTCTCCCTTGTCATAATCTACTGCCCTGAAGAAGTGCTATAGGAGCTATTGGGCCAACGGTGCATGTGGCTGGAAGAGATACCAGATTGGTACAAGAATGATTATTCTCTAAGCAGCCCCTTCTCTTTTCATCTAACTCCAAGTGTCTTCTATGTTCTCAAGCACTGCTTGAAGTGTTGATCGATACAAAAGAAAATTTCCAACCACAAAGTGCTTATAGTTTCTTTAAGATGATGTATATTTAGGGAAAAATGAAATGACACAATGTAGAGTTAGATGCCTAGAAGTGGTATAAACAGTGAATGCTGGGTAATTTGAAATCTGATTCATTGCTGCTCTTCACACCATGTCCCTTGCCCACCTGCCTCATCTTTTGACACAACTCCCAGCCACTTTCCCACCTCTTTTCCTTTTCTGCAGTACCCAGAGTGGTTGCAGAGTCACCGTGAAGCACTGTCCCCAGAACAATTTGAGAAATATCAGGAACAGCACAATGTAATGGGCAAGATTTGTGAACAGTTTGAAAAAGAGACGGCTGCAGACAGCGAGGCCACACAGAAGGCCCGCTTTGAGATGGTGCTAGATCTCATGCAGCAGGTGAGAACCTATTTTGCATCTCCTGTCATTCCTTTTGCTTTTAAGAGCTCCAGTCATGAAGGACAGAAGAGGTTGGGCAGCTTTCCCCTGTGCCTGAGGTACTCCTATTGAGGCATTGCCAGGTGGTATTAATGAAGGACACCAAAGCCTGTCTCTCCACTAGTAATGATTTATCCACATGTATGTGCTATACATATGATAGTTTACAAGTGAGGAAGAGTGAAGGTGAGATACTTTGGAAAGGCATGAGGGACATGAATAGGTGGCAGCTCTGATTCCCCTCTTGGGACTGAGGTATTTGGATTTTCTCAGTTCCCTTATTCATTCTATAACCACTTAGTAAGTGTCTGCCAAGTGTCAGGCACTGGGATATTTTGTTCAGCATTATTTTACCAATTCCTTATCTTTCAGCTTCAGGATTTGGGCCATCCCCCAAAGGAGCTTGCAGGGGAAACAGTAAGTATCTTTTTCCTCTTCTAGGTGGCCATTAGAACCCCAACTTCCAGAATTCTGCCTAAGCAGGGAACTCAAAACAATGAGGGGGTTGTTAATCACAGTGGTGGCAAAAGGTTGTAGGTTTGCCTTGGGGAATGAAACGTGGGGAGTCCTGATGTACAATGTGGAAAACTTCTGAACCTTGTTCCCTCAACCTTTATTTCTAGCCCCCTGGCTTCAACTTTGACCTTGACACCTTGAATCTGTCGGGCCCTGCAAGTGCCAGTGGAGAGCAGTGTCTGATCATGTGAAATTCTTCACCCTTCCTTTCTCATTCCCAGCCATGAGTGAACACCTTAAGTCAGCAGAGCCATTGGGGGGCTGGGAAGGGTGGTGATACTGTGAAGAAATTGCCTGCCTGTCCCATTTGTCTTCTGTCCCCATTCCACTTCCTCCCCCAGCTCTTACTCCAAGGCTACTCCATACCAGCACAGGTCCCTCTGTGGGACCTTTTATTCAAATTGCTGTCATGAAGTCTTTTACCCCATCCCCTGTTCTCTGCTGCTAGCGAAGGTACCTATCTCTCCCTGCTTAAGGTCTTGATGGACCGTGTTCCCTTGCCCCTCTTCCCCTACCTACCATAATATTGAGTGTATACCTCCACTGATGCTTCCTCCTCTGACTCCCAGGGTCTATGTGCCTTGTTCCCTATTCCCTTTTGAGTCCGGGTGCTGTGGCAGCTCTGAGCATGGGGCTAGGGGAAATCCTGGCTCTGAACACTCATCCTTTGGGTATCTGATCCCTCAGGGCAGAAACTTTGGTCAGAGTAGGAACTGGAGAAGGGACACTTTGCATATCCTGGTGAGAATAGGGTCTTTTCTGGTCTTTGCCAACCACGTGTCCTTTCCCCTAGGTGTACATATACTGTTGCATCCTCTGAGGAAAGGAGGTGTGAGCTCTTGAGTTCTATTCTCCTAAATTAATAAGATGCTTCTGTTCCTGGTCCAATCTGAGAAGCCAAATGTTATCTTGAATGTTCCACAGTGCTACTGTTTCTTGTGTACCACCCCCTTTTTCTCATTCAGCTATGATCCCCTAGCAAATATATATACAAAATTGGAAGGGAGAGAGGGTTCTCTCCCTGTTTTGGGGGCACTTTTGAGACTTCGATCCCCTCAAAATTCTAAACCTTGATTCATGGCAGGTGCTTGGGAGAGGGCTGGTAGCCTGTCCTCCCCCAACCCTTCCGAGTCCCCTATGCCTTGGTTGATGTCCAGTAAACATCCTGAGCTAGGCTGATGGGAGTGTGGCCCCTTTCTTGGGTGGCATAAGCTCCTACAGACTAAGGGTAGAGCAGGGTAAATTCCTTATGAAAGCTGGGTTCTGAAACCACCTGCTCAGAGGTGTTTGGCAATGCTCTTCCTCCTTGCCCAGGTCAAGCTAAAATATCTGCCCATTTCTTAAAGATTTCAGCAAAAGGTTCTGAGGTTTCTAATTTTTCACTGACATCATTCTGCTTAATATTTCAAATTTATTATTGAATGTTAAATCTCTTCTCTTAGCTGCCCTTTCTTCTCCCCAGCCCTAGATCTGAGAGCCATTGATACTATGGGGCCTTGTTTACCTTACAACCTAAGCACTACACTCGGACCAACCCCCCCTGAATTAAGTATTAAAACAGCTAACATTAAGATGAATTTGGTCTTGGTTTAAAGTCAAATATAGTTCACTTCAGTAAATTAGGGGGTAGGATGGAGAAGACATAACTTAAGTGTTGTATTTAGTTCTAAGCACCCCTCTTAGGATGTTGATAAGTTGGCTCAGGTTTGAGGGAAGATGATGCTAAGGGGGCTTAAAATCACATCATTCAAAGGTTAGTAGCTGAGGGTGGTAGTGGAAGAAAATGGCTTTGCAAGCTAAAGCCTTCCCTCCCTCCATCTCCTGTCTGCTTTCCTAGTGCTAGCTACCACTATCAAGAAACTTGAGGGAGCTGTGCCCATTTTTGTTCCTAAACCCCCACCCCCAAGACTGTTGATTTGTATTAGGAGGAAGGGACTCATGTAGCTCACTGTACAGAAAGCTGTGGCAAACCTGTCTAGTTATTGCCTCTGTAGAGCTTTCTTCCCTAATAAAACATTGCCTGCAGTACATCTCTACTGGGGGTGGGGGGGTGTGCACTAGAAATACTACTGGGGTTAAGACTCACGAGACCTGGGTTTGAATCCTACCTCTCCTACTTGTGACCTTGGGCAGGTCATTTAATTTCTGGGACTCAGTTTCTTGATCTGAGGGGGAGGAGTTGCTCATTAGTCTCCAAAGTTTCTTCTAGCCGTCAATGACTGAGCATATAGAGTAAAGGCATTAAATAAATGCTTGCTAAATCAACTCTAGCTTCAATATTCTGCTACAAAAAAACCTATTCTGTGTTCAGTGCCATGTTTATTACCTACTGTGTAAAGGATATTTTTTTCCTAAACTTAACCTCAAACTTTAGGGGGTTAGACAAGTCAATTTTATAGATACTGACAATTTTTTAGTCTGGTTTTTGTTTAGAAAGGTTTTTAGTCTGCTCTCATTTAGTTGCCTTTCTAGTCCCTTAGTCATTTTAGCTGCTCTTCTCTGGAGCAATCTAATTACACCCTTTTTCTAAGGGTCCCAAGAAGTTTACTGTGTACTAGGCGAATCCCAACCAAGAGTTTTTGTTTTCCCAGGCTGAACCACACACCTTTGTAACCCAATTGTAGTTAAATATATAGGTTAGGGGATAGGACAGAGGGAGGCTTGCTTATGGCACTAGAAGGAAGTGGTGAAAAAAAAATCGCTATTTACTCTGAGAAGCTTATACACATGTATTAATATCTGAAGAAAAAAAAAGTCCTAAGGAATGAAGGGCAGGAAAAAGGAAAGTCAAATAGTTTGAGGTGCACCCTAGATCTTGGCAGCCTCCTGTAAGAAGAATGTTAGGAGTGCTAGAGATCAAAATGGGCTGATGCTGGGGAGGAAGATTAAAAAACTACAAAGGGTTTGAGTTAGTTTTTTAAGGGTATATTGGGAAAACTTGATCAAAGATCGAACGAATAGCTTTCAAACCCCTTTCTTGCTTCTCTTTTCTCTGCCAAGCAGAATGTTCTTTGGACCTGAAAGGGCAGGAACAAATGTGGCTAAGGCACTGATATAATAAATACGGAGCTAGTAACAAATTACTTAGCTACCTTTTGTGATTTTAGCTGTCTTTGGTTATTTCAACTCGCCTGACCCAGGTTGACTTCAAGTGATTGCTCATCAACTGTCTGATCATTCTTAAGAGCATGGACAATGGGGGGCAGTGCTGTAGGATTAGAAAAGGGCAAATTGCCTGATTTCCCGCAAGGCAAGACCAAGAAAGTTACAGGCCAATAAGCTTGATTTTAATTCCTAGCAGAGTTCTACGATGTATTAAAGGGATAGTGAATGAACCTCCCGAAAAGGTGACTGATCGCACACAGCTAATATGACTTCATCAAGATCATATCACGCCAGATTTTTAATCTTTTCAATTTGCTTACAAAACTGGTAGATAAGGAAAACGTTGTGGATAATGGCTTACCTTGACTTCAGTGAAGTCTTTGAAAAAGTCTCTCCTGCTTTTCTTATGGAATGAATTTTGGGAAAGACAACAGTACAATTAGGTGGATCTAAGCTAGTTAAGTGGCAGTCTATCTCAAAG